AAAAAAAATGGGCATGAGTATTAGTGCATGTTTTCCCCTCACAGGATCGTGTGGCTTTAGATAAGATTATACTGTGCTGAGCCTGGCATAGAGCTGACCATAGCATAAGAGCACAATAACATTGACAGTGGTATTGGTATGAAATGAACATAATAAGGATCCAAGGGAGGACAATTTAAGCAGAGTGAATTTGAAGCCCCTGGCTGATGCAAACAGCTAAGTGCTCAACTACCATTCCACCTGGTGGCTCCGTAGAAGACAACCCTGGTGATCAGTTTGCAGCAAGACTACAAGCAGGAAACCCCAGGGAGCGGGCCCACGCAGGGCTACCGGGAGTCAGAATGGATTCCAAGCACAATGGGTTTGGTTTTCAGTATATGAGTGAATGTGGACAAAGAAACCTAATACTATTTTCCTTACATCTCAAACCTAGATTCATCCATCTTTCTCAAGTCAACTTTAAGAACAATTTTGTTAACTGGAATGAAGAACTTTCTCTTCGAGCTGTATGTGAACGCTGTGACGATATGTATAATCTGTCTTATTCCTGGGACCTCTTCTTAGTCAATGCAACAGAGCAGACTAGTTTGGAAGGTAAAACATAAATATAATTTGTTGACTGAGGGGGGAAAGGAAGCTTATTTTGTGATTGTTGAAATTTTGCAAAATTCATACAGCCCTGAATTAAGAATATTTAATTATCACCTCTGAGTTCTGGTGCTTCCCGAACTCACTGTGGATCTTTGTGATAACACCAGGAAATACTCATGATTCATATTCTCTTTCTAACCTTGTTGAGAATCTGCAAGTCTGGATCTGATATTCACTTAGACTTTTTTTTAAGTGGAAATGACATGTGCTTTGACTTACGGTTCGATGGGCCAACATCGCTTTATGATCTTGTTTGCCCTTTAGGAGAGCTGTGCTTGAGAGACTGTGCAGAGAAGCGGGAGTCTAAGGACCCTGTTCAGTCCTGGTTCAGCCTTGCTGAAGCAATTCTCTGTGACTCTCTTTCCTTGGGGTGAAAAGGGAGGATGACAGTACCTCACAGGGTGGTGATAAAGTAGAATTAAGTGTAAAAAAATGAGCTTCCACCAAGAGAGTGGTTATGTTCTCATTCCGGGATCTGAAATCCTATTTGTAACAAGACAGATCTCTGAATGGCATACAAAGGGGCTTTCAGTCCTGAGCTAGATGGTAAATTCCATCATCAAAAGCTTGTGCCTCCTCTCCCTTTACTGACCTTTTAAACTTAATTTTCCATCTTTTCAAAGAGGCCATACAAAGGCTTCTACAAGCAGAGCTCCAAGTATAGCTGACCTCAGTGATTAAAGGGGTGTGAAGACAGACACACGGGACAGTGGTGCCAGCCTTTGTAATAGGGAGATTCCTATATTCTTTTAAAAAAAAACATTTTATTGGGGGCTCTTACAACTTTTATAACACCTAGATACTCTTAAGGAAAATGAATTTATCTAATTTTGAGCCAATGTCAAGTGTATGAGAGGAACTTTTATTAGAATTATTGAATTGTATGATATGTGGAAGAAGTGCTAATAAAACTGTAAAAAAGCAAAAAAAAGAGAGAGAGAAGAGAGAAAATTACATACGAGGGGTACCACACAAAAAACTGATTTTTCCCCCTTCCCCAAAGCTCTGTATTCAAAAATTTTAACGTTACTACCCCCAAAATACTCTCCATTACACTTGATACCTTTGTCAAATCTGCGATTCCATTCTTGGAAACATTTTTCAAACTCATCTGTCTGGGTGACTGACAGCACCTCCCTCACTTTTTTCTTCACCTCTTCAACATCGTCAAATTGCTGTCCTTTCATGTCCTCTTTATTTGCAGAAACAAAAAGAAGTTTTAGGGAGTGAGGTCAGGTGAGTAAGGTGCGTGGAGCAAGAGAGGCATGCTGTTTTTTCCAAAAAACTGGCACACTGAGATGGCTGAGTGAGAAGGTGCATAGTGGTGGCAAACCAGTCCCCTGTCTGCCGCAAATCAGGCTTTCTTTGTCACATGTTGTTGCGCAATCATTTCAGAACCTCCAAATAGAAAGCTTGATTAACAGTCTGACCTGGTGGAATGAACTCCAAATGCACTATCCTTCTCACATAAAACAAAACAAAACAAAAACAAATGAAGATTGTTGTCTTTTTTTTTGGGGGGGGGGGCGGAGTTTACCTCCTCATATATTATCCAGTGCCTAAGATTCCAGACTAGTGATTGTCCCTACATAGATGGGCCTTGCCCTCCTTGTCTGTCATTGACTTTTCCAGTGGTTGAAACTAAAGGCTTACTTTCAGGTGTCATTTTTAAGTCAAATGAAATGTTTTGATATTAATTTTTAATAGAATTCCCTTTGAAAAAAATAACTTTATTGACATGTAATTCAAATATCATTCATTTCAATAGTTAGGTCATATCAAAAAGATAACGTGTCTAAAGTTTGTGAAACAAAGTCTTACAATCTTTACTTGCAAGGAGCATCCTGGTTGTATTTCTTCCAATACAGATTTGTTGATTCTTTTGTCAGTCCATGGTCCTTCCCACACTCGCCACCAGCCCCACAATTCAAGTGCATTGATTCTTCTGCAACCTTTGAGCATTACTCAATGCCCAACTTTCACATGCAAATGAGGCAATTGAAAATACCCTGGCACTTTTGTCCTCCAGGTAACATCTTTGCTTTTCAACACTTTAACGAGGCTCTGTGTAGCAATCTATTGATTGCTTGACTGCTGCTTCCATGAGCATTGGTTGTGGATCCAAGCAAGACATAATCCCATACAGCTTCCATCTTTCTCCCATTTGTCCCTATTGGAATAGTTGTGAGGATTTTTGTTTTCTTTATGTTAACTTGTAATCAATCCTGAAGTCCAACATCCTTGATCTTCATCAGCAAGTGCTTCAAGTTCACTTCACTTTTAGCAAGCAAGGATGTATTATCTACTGGTCACTTGTTGTTGTTAAACCTACTTCCAATCCTGATACCACATTCTTCTTCATATAATCCAGCCTTTCTGATGATTTGCTCAGCCTATTGATTGAGTAAGAATGATGAGAGGATACCACCCTCATGCATACCTTTCTTGATTTTAAAACATGCCATATCATTTTATTCTGTTCCCATAATTTCCTCCTACAGGCTTTACATGAGCCTGGTAAAGTGTTTTTAAATTCCCATCCCTAGGCATTAGTGAGCTAAAATATACTATTATTGGGCTTTTAAAAAATCAGAAACCATATAGTTTACTAGGTCATGATTGAAAAATCCAGGAAGAATGGTATCACATTCATTGCTGAAAGGAACCTTTTAGATCTACCTTAAAGTACAGTGCTTTCTGTGAAAGCATAACATCAAGACCCCTACAAGGGAGATCAGTAAATACAATTATTATTCAAATTTATGCACCAGCCATTAAAGCTAGTAATGATGAAATTGAAGAATTCTGCCAACTTCTTCAGTCTGCAATTGATCAAACATGAAATCAAGATGCATTGGTAGTTATTGGTTATTGACATGCAAAAGGTGGAAAGAACAGTAGTTAGAAAATATCTAGAAAATTGGTGATTGAAATAAAGCTGGAGATTGAATGATAGAATTTTGCAAGATCAACAACTTTTTCATTGTAAATACCTTTTTCCACAAACACAAATGGTGATTATACATGTGAATTCGGTTAGCTGAATACACCGAAATCAAATTAACTACATCAGTAGGAAGAGATGATGAAGAAGCTCAGGATCATCAGCCAAAACCTATGGCTGAGTGGCTGAAAGAGACTTGGCTTCTGGCTGAAAAGAGGAGCTGCTGTGAACCAATAACCATACCCTTGTTGTTTACTGATCCTGACTTGTGGTAATGTGCTCACTTACCTAAGAAACTCCATAATTGTGAGGGTTTTTTCCTGTGAGTTCTGGATGGCTATTTCAATGAGTTATTGATCCGGGCAGAAAAGCAGTGTTATGGGTGGAATGGTCGGTGTCAGAAAGGGTAAAGAAAGACGGATGGTGGAGACGTGTTTCCCCTGCTTGTGGCAATAAAAAAGTTAGAGGAGGTTCTATGTGAACACCCATGATGATTCCTCATGTGTCAGAGATTTTTATCTTTTGGTCTATCTCATGCATATCTTTTCATATTGCATTATTTTAGTGGGTTTTTCACAAAGTTTTGACAGTTTTTTCTGTGAGTTTTATTGTATCTTTCTGTTCTAGAATTCTGATCACACATAAGTTATTACTTTTGCTCTTGTACCAAAGAAAGTCTTTGGCTTTCTTTATTTTTTGTTCTCTTTACTGATTGTTCCTTTACAGGTTAGTATTACAATATATGTCATTAATTTGTTGATCTGTCTTCCATTAATTTAATTCTACCCCATTGTTTTTCCAATG